CAGCTTGGTGCCCCCACACCTCACTCCAAAGCCTGCACTGAGGGCCTGGTCTTGCCCCTGAGAAACTGAGGCACCGTGAGACCCCGTGTGCCGGCTCCCATTGGCCAACCTGGGCCCCCCACCCTGAGACCCACCTTCCACCGGACCCTGGGGCCCTGGCTAACGGCTCGGCTCAGCCCTGTCCCGGGTTCTCACAAACGCCGGGAACCCGAGGGTGCCGGCCGGCGAGGGACACCGGGCAGGGCCCTGGCTTACCGGCCCCGAGGGTCCATCCGCTAGTCCTTCAGTCTAAGGCTTGCTCAGCACAAAGCAAGGGATAGCACGAGTTACACACCAGGCCGGCCCGGCCCCCACGCCGCCTGCTCTCCTACCCGGCCTGCCCGCCATGGCCTCCCCTCCGGCACCGCCTCTCCTGCCTGGGTCAGGCATGCCCGCCGGCCTCACTGGTCTCCATGCAGCCTCAGGCCAGCTTTCCTCATGGAACGTCCCCAACCCCTCTCCTCAGCTCCCCACATGCCCGCGGGGACATGGCTATCGGTGACGGGCTGCCTCTGGCCCCCAGCTGTCTGTCCTCCACTATGTCCTGGGGCCCCTCTGCACTCCCCCAGCCCAGGCCACCACCCGCCCTTCCCTCACCATCTCCTGGCTTCCTGCCTCTGCCCCACCACCCCCAGAGCCTCCAGGTTCCTCCTCCCCACCTCCCTCCACCACTCATCCCTTCCAAAGGGAGCCCACCCGAACTCCAAGCACAGAGCAGGCGGAGTGCGCAGGGCAGAGGGGCGGGCACGCAGGGCAGAGGGGCGGGCACGCAGGCAGCAGGCAGTAGGGAGCGGGCACCAGTGGGCAGGCTCTCACCTTCACTCTGCTGACTCCCAGCGCTGCCGCTGCCGTAGCTGAAGCCAGGGTCCTGGTACGCGGGCGGGAAGCAGGGCGGAGGCCCTGGGTACTGATAGGGGTAGCCCTGCCCCAGGGGCCAGGGAGCCGGGTGGGGCAGCGGGGCCAACGTGTCCTGATCCGAGGCCCCGCTGGAGCCGCTGTTGAGGTTCAGGGCCTCCAGGTCTGGGAAGAGGGGAGGGCGGGTGAGGGCGGTGTGGGCAGGCCCCCCGGGCACCCCCGGCCCACAGCCCCACTCACTGCTGCACAGGTCCCCGAAGACGTAGTAGCACTGCTCGGAGAAGGTGACCTTGTTCACGGTGTGCCGCAGGAAGCCGCGCTTCAGCATGCTGCTGGCGTACTTGCGCGCCTCGCGCCGCTCCTTGAAGCCCTCCACGTGCGTGTACAGCCAGTCCACCACGTCCGCGCCTGCGGAGGCTCGCGTCAGGCAGGGGTCCAGCCGTGCATGTGTGCGTGCGTGCATGTTTGTGTGTGCACATATATGTGTGTGCAATGTGTGCGCACCGCCCGCCCCGCCCCTGCATCTAGGGACCACTCACCGATAACGGCGTTGGCGATGGTGATCTTGAGCCACATGCGGTCGCGGATCTCCAGCCCCGAGTCGGGCAGCTGCATGGCCCGGACCACGGCGCCCATGTCGCTCTTCACCGTCAGCGGCGCCTCCTCCAGCTCTGCAAGGAACGCCCCTCCTCAGTGGACAGGCCCCCGCCCACGGTGCCCACTGCACCCCCTCCGAGGCCGGTGCCGTGGAGACCCCCAGGCGAGGAGGGCGTGTGGGGACAGTCTCCCCCTCCTGTAGGTGCTTCCACAGGATCTGGGCACGAATCGGGGTGAGGCCGCCCCCACCATGGCCACGGCCTTGCGTGGACATCAGCCCCCCCTTCCTCAGGCTGTCAGTCGTGTTAGAGGCAGAAAGCAGATGGGGCTCCACGCAGGCACGCACACACGAGTGCACACCTACATGCACACATGCACGCACATGCACACACCCGGGCATGCAGTGGCCTGCCCTGCCACAGAAGACCCTGGGCAGGGACACAGGCTGGCTCGGCCCCTCGGGCACCTCCACCCCCACCGCACAGGACGTGCACGGGAGGAGCATGAGCCGGAGGCCAGGTGTCGGCCCTGCCTCCGAC